GTTAATAGCCGAAAAAACACTTTTCGGTACATTTGAAATTGGTTATTAACTGGTTTATCTCAAAACCTATGGAGCGAACTACAATCACTTTGATCTCATTTGAAAGATAATTTAATACCGAACAAAAAGTTTCCTATAAACATGTGTCGAAAAATGCTTCCTTAAAAAGTTAGCACTCAAAAATCTCTCAGAGATTTATACATATGTACATATACATACATGCGTGTATATATATATATGTATGTATATACATATATGGAATATCTGGAATGTCTTTTGTAGAAGTGCAACATTCGACGCGGCTTGAGAAAATTAGCTAAGCAATTTTTATTAATACATGACGATGCAACTTACAAATTTCCATAATTACGAAAATTCAGTCAACCACAAAATTATTTACAGAAAATAAGTGCAGAATATTATAAGCAGAGAGGTAATCACAGAAAGTTTGAACAAATCTTTCATACGATATACATATCTGTATATTTTAAAGATACAGACGCAATTCATAGCTCTTGTAGACATTATCTGACATTATTCATACAGCACAGTGACAAAATGATTTATACCACATGATCATGCACTTAAGTGAAAACTTTTAATGAAGTGACAACAGTCAGTATCGCGTAGCATGAATCGCAATTGGAATAAAAAGGCTTTAATTAAAATGCTGTTTACGTATTTTAAATAAGTATATATATATATATATATATATATAGATTCCCACACTTTTTGAAGAGGTTTGAAACAATCTTCAAAAATTTTGAACTCTTAAGCAAAGCTAAAATCTAATAAATCGATTTCAATATGTACAGAGTGGTATGGAAATTGATTCTCTTCAAGGAAAATGTCACTATAATCAATGGATCAATGTACAATCTGTCGTTCACTATCGTTTAGCACAGTTGTGTAGATCTTCAATTAAAATAAATTATCGCAATCAACACACACACACAGATAATCTATAAGTTATCAAGGCAAAAAACAATAAAATAGAATTTATGTATAATTCTTAAAATATAGAGAATTTGGAGAGAATAAATCAAGTGAGAAATATATTTTTTATGAAGAAAAACCAACAATATTTGATATATGCAATAAAAAATTTATATGCTCTAAAAGTTATATGTATAATTAATAAACAAAAGTTCTTTTTATGACAAATTTCATGAAGATCTACATATACATTTTCATAATAATTAATCGACTCGTCTTGTATCGTCTTGTATTCTAGATGATGATTGAAAAATTTATTTCGTCGCGTGACGATAGCGTCGAGAAACAATTATCGGACCTGAGTTTAGCAGAACTTCCATCGATTTCCGCATTCGTTACACAACACGAAGGTGGTCATCGGTTCGTCAGCTGAGCGTGTCTGCACCTGATTATACGTGCAGTTACGCTTCTTGCATTTGCCGCATTTGAGCAAATCGGTCTTAGTTCCTTGCACAGTGGCAAGTTGCGCGTCATTGATGGCCTCTTTCTTGAATTGTTCACGCAGTTGCTTAATTTCATCGCTTGCCATTTCCTCCGCTGTCATTACCGCAAGTCGAGAGGGCGTAATTGCGCCCACAAGAAAATTCGTTCGTAAATTGGGATTTTTCATGTCGCGCAAATTGGCGACTCTGCTACGTACCTGCAAGCGAATGGATAAAATTGTTGTTATATCAATACAATTAATGTAAATATTTTTGCATGTATACATGAAGGGGAAGAAAAACAATTCTGTATGCAAAATAATAAGATATTTAATTACCCTATTTTTGTATCTGTTATCAGTATTTTTGAATTCCGCATAGATCGCCTCCTCCAATTCTTCCGCTAACTCTTCTGGACTGGCGCAACCATCAATGACTTTCCCATCTACGCGTAAAGCTGTTACTAAAAGTTCTCTGCATTTTAATCTGACCGCATCTGTCGTGGTAGGAGCAGGGAAAGACGCCTGTTTCCTCTGCATGTCTTTGCTTGGCTTCTCTTCCTTCACTTTGACATCAGCGGCATCTGTCATATCCTTTTCCTTTTTCTGATCGTTCTCTTCCTTTCCCTTATCTGATTTTTCATCCTTCTTCTTTGAACTACTTGATGAAGTAGAATCCTTTTCTTTGGATCCTATATCATATAAATAATATTTCTTAATAACTTACATATATATTAAAATCAATTATATATTACACACATACCAGATAAGAACTTCTTCCAATTTTTAATAAGAGTTTTTGATAAAGAAATAACTTCTTCATCTCTGCTTGACTTCCTCAAGGCATTCACAGTCATTCCAATGCGTGTTTTGGTCAAGAGTTCCAAATTGACGGGTAATTTTTGAAGTATCTTGAGCAATTCCAAAGCTTGTTCCTGGCCCTGATTAAAGCAATTATATTGCATGCTCAAAAACATTTTCTAATATCCTTATTTTAATAATAATATATTGATTTTATGCGATATCATCAATATTTATATATATTAATATTTTACTTTGTTTCTGCTCCTCAGATATTTGTAGAAAAAACAGCAAAACAGTTTAAAAGTCTATTTACAACAGATATAGTTTGGCAATGATAACAAACATTGAAAGCTATACAACTATGTAAGATGTAAAATTCCAAATGTTAAAACTCGAGATCCGTTAAATACTGTATTTTTCTAATGCAGTAGATAAATAGGATGAATCTTCTGTGTGATACTGTATACACTGTGTATAACGTTTGATATACTGACTGTAATGTATAGTAAATGTATTAGTAAATGTATAAACTTTATTTTGAGAAGATAATAAATATATCGCGATAATATAGTTTTGCGCAGCTTTCGGTCATTCGCGGTGAACACTGATAACTGATAACGCAGCGAGTACTCGACATCGACGTTGAAAAAAATGCAGCGCCTTCCTTCAGGAAGCTCGCCTTACGCGCGCTCGGGGCCGAATATACGATGCGATCTTTATTTTACTCACTTACTCACCGTCCCGTCACCGCTCGACATTTTGTTGAGCTTCTTCTGTATGCGCAATACTTCTTCCTCGGCGCTCATCGTCGGGAATCCACACAGTTTTTCACTGAATCACAAAATCGCTTATAAACAGGCGCGAGAGATGGACAAACAAAACTTCCGTCGACGCCACAGGCCACAGACCGCGATAGTTGATCCGCGAGTAACATCATGACTGCGACTGAGATAATGAACTCGAATACGAATGCGCGTAAGCAGGTCAGCCAATAAAACGGCATCGTATTTGCTGGAAGTGTCATCTATTCACCATGACGTTGCGATTGACCGTAGCCACTCACAGCGATCGGTGCTTGGAGTTTTTCCACTAGACAACCAATCAAAAGATACTATGTTAATTGATCACGTGGACAATCTGGTGACACTTCTTTGATAGTATTGCGTTCCCTCTCTAATGTGCACAGTTTCGGTTGTTCATGTTTTTATGTGACTCGTGACGTTTCTCAGGCTTTTCGTTGATACGCGACACGTGGTCGAATCGAATGCATCGTTCGAGAATTTATTAAATAAGATGTCGCGTTTAGTAGTGAAAAATTTGCCGAAAAGCGTATGTAGAACTCATTAATATCTAACGTTTATAATATATACTTATTTTTTTTTATAAATATACAATATACAAGAGATACCCGCATGTACATATATGTACATAAAACTTTATTGATGAAGTGGGCATTTCGTATATGTATCTCAATTTTTTATTTGGTGCACGCAGGTGACAGACACTAAACTGAAAGAATTATTTAGTCAAAAGGGTATTGTGACTGATGTCCAGTTGAAGTATACGGAAGATGGAAAGTTTCGACGATTTGCATTTATCGGATACAAGACAGAGGAGCAAGCGAAACTGGCACAGTCCTTTTTTGATCAAACATATATCGACACATGTAAAATATTTGTTGAGCAGTGTGCAGGTTTAGGTATGTAATCAAAGATAATTGTGTTAGCATAATAAACTATGAGATTTTTGTGGATTTTAAAGTGATATATTTTAGGTGATTCCTCCAAACCAAGATCATGGAGCAAATATGCAAATGATAGCTCTTATAAAAAGATTAATAAATCTCTTGATGATAAATCACAGGAAACATTGACAGATTCTACAAAAAAGGATAATATAAAAGAAAGTAAAAGTGATAAAAAGAAGAAAAAAAAGAATGCAGACAAAGAAAATAATGATGAAATTAAGAAAGCACTTGAAAAGGTATAATAAATTTTTCTAATCTCTTTATGTTTAGTAACTCTAGTTTAAGTGTTTTCTATTTTAGTTAAGAAAATTATTATGGTTTATTAAATTATGACTTAAAATTTTTAGTATAAGGATGATCCTTTATTCGTGGAATTTCTTGAAACACATACTGGTAAAACAGCTTGGAAAAATGATATTGATATATCTATGGAAACATACACTGAAAAAGAGAAGTCTGATGATGATGATGATGAGTCTAATGATGATAAAGATGATGAATCTAAGGAAAGTAAAGATAAAAAGGAAGATGAGAAAAATAAAGAAGAAGAAAAAATTGCGAATAAAGTTATATCAGATTTAGAGGTATGTATGATAATGTGATTTTCATTGAATATAATGTATGTATTTGTGTTGATACTAATGTTATATATACTATTAATAAAGTTTTTAAATTCTAGTATATAGAGGCATTAAAGAAAAAGCAACAGAATGTAAAAAGTGAAGAAAAATCTGTGATCAACAATGTGCCAAAACATGGTCCAATCACATTCTTCACTGTAAAATTACGAGGACTTGCATACAAACATGTAAAAAAGCATATTAAACAATTTTTTCGTCCTATAAAAGTTGCATCTATACGAATTCCACCTAAAATTAAAGGTATTGCTTATGTAGGTTTCAAAACGGAGCAGGCCATGAAGAAAGCTCTTATGAAAAATAAGAGTTTCCTAGGTAAAAATCAATATTAATTATGAAATCATAGCATATATGTAATAAACATTTTATCAATATTTTTCTTTATATGTTTCAAATTTATGCAGAAGGAAAGCAGATATTTGTATCTAAATATGAGCGAAAAGAAGCAATTGAATCTAACGGAAATTCAAATAATGAAGCCAAAATTAAATGGAAAAAACAAGAAGATGCTTTGAAGAATGAAGAGAATATAGCGGAATCTGGAAGAATATTTATCAGAAATCTGACATATACAGTTACAGAAGACGATATAAGAAAATTGTTTGAAAAATATGGCCCTTTATCTGAAGTGAATTTACCTGTGGATAGAGTGACTAGGACACCAAAAGGATTTGGCACGATAACCTTCTTGATGCCGGAACATGCTATAAAGGCTTACAATGAACTGGATGGTTCTGTACTAGATGGTAGAATGTTACATATTCTTCCCGGGAAGACGAAAACTTCCTTGGAAGACATCGATATGGAAAATTTAACTTATAAACAAAAGAAGGAGCTGCAGAATAAGGCAACGGCAGGTTCATCACATAATTGGAATACGCTGTTTCTTGGACAGAATGCCGTAGCGGACGCTATCGCGAGTCGCTATAACACGACGAAGGAGAAGTTATTAGAAGACGGATCTAATGGAATGAGCGCCGCGGTCAAATTGGCACTAGGAGAGACGCAATTGGCACAAGATACAAGAGCTTTTTTAGAAGAAAATGGCGTGTGTCTGGACGCTTTCAATCAAGCACCAAAGAAGAGATCGACCACTGTAATCTTAGTGAAAAATTTACCGGCTAAAACAGAATCGAAGGAATTCCGAGAAATGTTTGCCAAGTACGGGGAATTGGCGCGTATCGTAATGCCACCGGCGGGTATAACAGCACTGATCGAATTTCTAGAACCATCCGAAGCACGCAAAGCTTTCCACGCATTAGCTTATAAAAAATATAAGCATCTACCGTTATATCTGGAATGGGCACCAGATAACAGTTTCATCAGACCTGCATCTGAGACTGACATGGCTAAAAGTAATACAGACAAAAGAAAAGAATCGACAGATTCAGCAAAGAAAGCTAAAAAAGAAGTAATGACAGAAGAATCTAAAGAAAATGAGAATATGCATACAAAGGAGGATGATGAGCCGCCTGAACCAGACACTACACTTTTTGTAAAAAATATCAATTTCTCAACTACAGAAGAACAGTTGAAAGATGTAAGTAATTAAAATAGTTATATTTATAGTTTGTTGTTAGTTTTTCTTGCGCATAAATGTGGTAATGTATTTTCATGCTTTCAGTACTTTGGTAAATGCGGTCCTCTTCATTACATCACAATAGCCACTAAGAAAGATCCCGAAAATCCGGCTAACAAGCTATCTATGGGATATGGGTTTGTGAGATACAAGAGAAAACACGACGCGGATCGTGCGTTGAAAACGTTACAGATGTCAGTACTTGATGGGAAGAGTTTGGAATTGAAGCGATCTGAGAGAACTTTAATGTAATAAGAACACTAATATTTTAATCTGTCTTATCAAATGCCAGGAAATCTTAATAATTATGAAACTACTTCTTAGATCCGATGTCAAAACAGCGAAGAAGAAGTCTAAAATTACCGAACAAACTGGTTCTAAAATTTTGGTACGTAATGTACCCTTCCAAGCAACTCTCCAGGAAATAACGGAATTATTCAAGTATGTACATTGTATATATATTATGCCGAAATATTTATATGTAACGTAGAATATAATTTTGTTAATTGTAATTTTGCAGATCGTATGGTGAATTGAAGGCTGTACGATTGCCAAAGAAATTGGTCGGCGCTGAGAAGCACAGAGGATTTGCCTTTGTCGAGTATTACACAAAGACAGACGCAAAGGTAATTACTTATAGTATCTATACTTGTAGAATTTAATTATTTAAATAAATCGGATATGCCTTGTATGATGAAAGATTAACTTATTTAAAGATGTGTATAATAGAAAAAAACTGTGTTTGATTTTTTTGCTAATTTCAATTCACATTTTTTTGCAGAAAGCGTTTAAAGCACTATGTCAAAGTACTCACTTGTACGGTCGAAGGCTAGTGCTTGAATGGGCACAGGCAGAGGAAGGTATCGAAGAAATTAGAAAACGTACTGCGAAACGTTTCTACCAAGGTAACTTATTTCTTATGTTTATTGTACTTTAATAAATATTGTAATAAATCAATTCGCTTATTGATATGCGATAGAAAGTTTTATGATTCTGAGGAAAAATTCTCTTTTTCAGAGAGTTCAACAAAGAGATTCAAGAAATCTACATTAGATCCTGAGAGTGTTGGCCTCGAATTAAATTCGGCGGACACATAAAACAAAAATTATTAAGCAAAACAAATGTTAATATGTAAAAACTTCTGTAATTTAATAAAAGTTTTGTGATCGTGCATAATTTAAAAATACTGTCTGACAAATTTTGAATGTCATGAACATTATTGGAATCAATATTTAGTACTGCTATACATATCGATTTCCATTTCTTTTCACATTGGCAGAGATTCAAGTTGATCGACAGGAAGTCGAAAGAATTTTTATTGCACGACATTGACCTTCGTGTCACGTTTAAACATGACTTTTTCTTTTCTTTTCTACAGAACGATACAGATTTCCAACGATCGATGTAATGCGATGTCTGTGTTTGAGTTAAGATAAAAATGCAGCTAACATTATTATCTTAGCTTATCTTAACTGATTACACAAGCCGCTTTCGCAGGATGACAGGTTTTGAGAGTGTAAATCGCGAAAACACGATTATAATATACATGTTATTATAAATACTATGTTGCGCCTGTGGAGATCTCTATCAGTGCCACAAATTTCACAATTCCGTGAATGTATTAATTAAATCAAAAGGGCATTATTCTGAAGGGAATTGCAGTAATTATAAATGATAAATTTGGTCCATATGTATATTTTTAATGCAATTCCTGGTAACTTTTTACTACCCTCTCGTGTATATGTGTACATTTATATATACAGGGTGCCCCACCAAAAGTGGCCAACCCCTTTTATCTTTTAAAAATAAAAAAAAAATATTAAAGATAAAATTATTCTGATATATATTTGTTACAGTCTATCTCTTTTAATTTAAAAGATAAGAGAGGGTGGCCACTTTTGGTGGGGCACCATCTATATATGTATGTGTATGTATGTATAGGGGTATTGATATATATGTATACATGTATGTATAAGTTTTATCTATAATATATCTATATAAAATGCAAGAGGAAGAGAGACGAAGTTTTTATAAAATATTTTATCTTTATCTCATAACTACTATAATTACATGTAAAAATTTTCTTCCTACATCAAAATAAACTAGATAATAATAATTTGCATTGTACACGAATAAACTTTGAATTTGTCAAACATTTCTTAGGAGTCCAATAATAACAACAATAGAGGCTTATTGGTCGAGTACAAGTAGAAGGGAAAAATGGCAAATAAGAACCAAGATACGAGTACTGGTGCGTGAACTCATTATTATTATTATATTTTAATAATAAATGTGTATTTTTTAAAAATTTACATTTGCAATTTACATTTTGGACAGTTTTTTGATCCATCTTCAGCATGGATATAAATATATAAAGATTGCATTGCAATTTTAAAACGACACACAAAATTTGTTGTTGCAGTCAAATTTTAAAATTTATACGTTATCCACTAATTTGTACAGACTCTACGTGGATTTTAATGAGTTTTCCTTTTTGATTATCGATTTTAATTTAAAATTTGATTACAATAACAAATTTTGTGTAAGTTAAGTTTTAAAATTCGAATGTAATCTTTATATATTTATATCCATGCTGAAGATGGACCAGAAAAAAGATCCGAAACGTACATTTTAAAAAAATACACATTTATTACTAAAATATAAAAATAATAAGTTCGCACACCAATAGCCACTCCTTGGCTCTTATTTGCTAGTTTTCGCACTTAATTATTTTTTAGGATATTTCTTAATTATTTTTTAGAAATAATCTATTTGTTCCTCTAATGGATCAACAATTATTGCTAGAGATATTCTTTATCTTATCACATATTGATTAATTGAATATTGTAATTATACAAATCAGGAAGAACAAATAATAGTTACAATGTCTTCAAAGTTTCTCGATTGACAATAATCTTTATATTCATACAATCTTGAATGCTCAACGAACAGAAGCGAACTAGCAGCAAGGTAGACACCGTCAGCGAAGAAATGTCTTCCTTTCACCTCCACTGCCACATCACCCGGAGGGGTTTGCATTGGGCCCCCCAATCCTGGCATCGCGAAGGACTGGAAATGCGGTTCCGGTTGGTGGGACTCAACATCGGTTGGCGATGTTATCCCACGAAGGTGTTAGCAGTAGTATGGGAGACGATCCCCATGAAAGTAATAGTGCGCTTGTGGTCCACCTTCGCCAGCCAAGCCAGTCGTACGCTTTTCGTTCTGGAGAACGTTGCTTGCGTGATTCGTTCGTAGATAATTGCTATAAAAGTGCCGCATCGTCGTCCTCCAGTGTCATCGTACAGGTACAAGATCAGGAGTGCAACGGCGATCGCATCGTCTTGTCACTGTGGATCACGTGCATCATAAGCAGATGCACCTGACGCGCGATGTGTTCAAGCTGAGAAAGACTCCCGACTTTGAAGACAGGCGAGATACCAAGTCACCGGAGGATCAGATCGAGCAGTTAACATGGACTGGGTAAGAGCAATTTCACTCTCGAACCAGTGATGAATTGAGTCATCATTAGATCATTATTAGCTCCTTCAATTTCTTTAATTACAATCTGAGGGGTCGCATTCTAGATTGTCAATGATGGAATATGATTTTCTAAAAATGCGTTGAGCATGCAAGATTGTATGAGTATAAAAATTACCGTCAAACGAAAAACTGAAGATCTTGCAACTATTATTTGTTTTTCCTGATTTGTATAATTACAATATTCGATTAATCAATATGTGATAAGATAAAGAATATCTCTTGCAATAATTGTTGATCCATTAGAGGAACAAATAGATTATTTCTAAAATTTCTAAAAAATAATTAAGTGGGAAAACTGGCAAATAAGAGTTAAGGCACGAGTATTGGTGCTCCAACTTATTACTGTTATATTTTAATAATAAATATGTATTAAAAATATACGTTTTGGACTGTTTTTTGGTCCATCTTCCGTTCGTCTAGGATGTGATAGAATATCACGTTCTAGGACGCGCTGGATTAGAGTATGACTGGTATAATCACAGAATAAGACTATTGTATTAAACTAGTCATATAAAAAGCAGTTTAATTTTAATATATCTATAGAAAATTTATTCTAAAAGGGTTGAAACTTGTTTAAAATACCAGAGTTAAATATATATGCTACATTTTATACATTTGAGAATAGAGATCTCACACAAAATTTCTTTTTAATATCTCTAAAAACTCATTTTCTAAAAATGACTATGTTTATTTCTCTCTGAATGATTTCCTGATTGAATTGGAAGTGAATCACTGGGGGATTAGAGTAAGAAGTAAACATGGACTGACGAACACAATTTCATTCTTACAATAAGATATACAATAAGTCATTATCTGTTTTAATGATAGGCGTTTTTCATTAACGGTTGTTACATCAACATTCGGCAAAGACGATAATGTGCGGTGTTTTATTGTAGTTCTCACAATTATCAAGAAGAAGCGCGCAATCTTCTTTTTTATATTGTATCTATTATCACAACCACAAATTTTAATTTTTCTCCTATTTATTTCATCATGCAAATATGCATTTAAATAGATTCTGTCGTGAAAAATGGCATTACAAAATTGTAAAGAATATTAATTAAACGAGTCTTTTGATTATTTGTCTTGAGAGAAAGGGAGTCAATTTTGACTTGTGTTCGATTCCATATCGGTCATCGAATTATGACATTTTGATATTTCGACATTAGAATATATGTCGAAACACTCGGAAAAGTAACACAAGGACTGCGCTTAGACGGGAAGTGCGGACTTTCCTGCACGAATGTATGTTATCTTTGTATCAAACGCAACGCAGGTGAAACCTATGACCATCCATTGCAGGATTTCGCGCGATAAATAATAACGTTTATTCGGAAACTTCTTCGGAAGAAAGGAAGTTTCCGCGAGCGAAAGAGAGTTTCCGTTACATTTCACTTAAACTCGCGCTTAAAATTATACTTCATTTTCCGCGCATGGATAGCAATTTGTTGTTACGAGAATACGTACACTCCGGTATAGATCGAGTTCCGCGCGAGCGATCGATGATTGAAATTGCATCGATATTAACGAGAAATCATATACTTGATTGCGGTCGTGATCCGTCCTATATGATTCCACGCGAGTGCGAAGCAATCTACTTTTAACGTGACTCGATAAGGTGAGGATAAAAGTCGCGCGTCGGAGGTAGAGATCGGATTCCAGAAGAAAAGATCTGTATTCGCGCTATGTTGAGTAACAACACAGGGGGGCGAGGGAAACATTTGACTTGCATATTCGCCCCGCGGTATCAAAACGCGATTCACGAGCGGGGAAAAAACCTTGAGAACCGAGTTGCGAGAAGTGCAAATTTATGGGCACGTCCGTAGGCGTAGGCGCTCGTTCCTTTTTCTTTTTCTTTTTTTCTCTTTTCCTTTGCATCTCACTAGTCACGCTTTCAACGAGTCGACGAAGTTTAATGAGCACGGAAGTGAGAGAGAGAAAGAAAAAGATAAGAAAGGAAAGGAATATCTTCCTAGGCAGGCGTGACTTTTGTTCTATAATCAAAATAGTTGATTATTAGATAATTAATTACATCATTATAATTACGACACTAAGTTTGAATGATGTTAATTTGAAAAAAAAGATATATTATGTCAAATTACTGACGATGGTTCAATATTTTGGGGGGAACCAAAACGTTATTTGTGAATATTTATTATTTAGAGCCTAATATACTAAGTTATCCTCGAAAAAAAAGTTCTCAATATTGAAATTCTCAAAAATAATGTGGCGTGAGGCGTATGTAAAAAAAAAAGTTGAATTTAACAATACGGTTGTTCGAGAAAAATGGGAAAGATTGAAAGTGAAAGATAATGTTACATAATGTTTATATTTTAATGTCATAGTTAATTCGTATTTTAGTCATACGCTATTTTTGATATGAAGTGACGATTTATTTTACTTTTTAGCGAGTTTAATTTATAGTTAGTAAGAGACAATTACAGAGTCGAAATACTACTCTCTATCAAGTATTACGGAATAATATTCTACCAAGTATTACGGTAGAGCGACGTGTAAAAGTAGTATCACCGGTCATTTGAATTAATTTGACTTAATCTCTCCGATCGAATTTTAGGCAGTGAAAGCAGAATCGAATTTATTCGCGTAATCGTGTGCTTGTATATATAGATGCATTTTACTGTTC